ATTAAACTGCGTGATCCCCAGGGGTCGTAGTATGTAGAAATTATGTAAGTAAGCGTGACCACAGGTTTTCGAGACACCCCTTAAGCCAGGATTTCTTCTGAATCCAAAATACATCATAAATGAAGATTCCCCGAAGTCACACCCTAAACGGATATTTCACAAAACAAGTATTGTAAAGTTGTAACCCCTTGGTCATTTTAAAGGGCAAGAGGGATTACCATTTAAGTTGTTAAAGAGAAGGTTGAGTTCTTGGAAGAGGTGAAAAATAATTTGTGAGCGTTATCTCTCTTATTATGCAAGTGTGGAAGAACATCAGATAAGACATGTTCCCTGAAAAGCATGGCTCTTCAAATGCCTTCATATTCTAAATATGTCATGTAACATCGTAAAGATCCAGGGTCGGATTTTACGCCACGTGTTCGTGTACATCTTTCTATGTACAGTGTTTGTAACTTTACCAAGACTTGGCCAAATTTCTTATCATTTTGATGATTCCATAACCTTGCAATACACACAAAATCTTATATGCTAGATGATCAACCTTTTCTGGTCGATTCCACACCGTTTCTTTCACAATGCAATCGCATGACCAGAACTCAACTTCATCTTTAACAATGTAAAATAAATCAAATTGCGCTTCTGATGTGAAATTTACAAGCTTAAAATGTATTTCAACAGAGAAGCAATACCATCAACATGTACACTTCCAAATGGGTTTAATGCACAGCCATCATACATAATTATGTCACATGCTGGTACGTGAAGCAATTGGGCTTCTTTATGTGTTTTTACATTAGCAAGCTGACGTAACCAAAATTCATAGTCAACCGGCCTCCCGAACAGCTTTCAATTCGGAGTCGGAATCTACAAAAAATACACGCGTACAGCAGGATTTTGAAAAAGTACCTTTTTTTCTTGAAATGGACGATTTTTAATCCCTTAACGCGGCACCGCGTTCAATAAAAATTTTTTTAAAAAATAACCCTTTACACCCCTTATACGCGTTTTCTTGGCCATGCATGTGATAGTATTTATATATGACTGAGACCCCGTTAATCATTCTTTACAACTACGCCTACAGAATCCTGCTTAAACGACAACCTGTATAGAAGGACCATGAATCTCTCCAAACCTGATTTTCTGTTTCCCTTGAATTGTGTTTGCCATTGAAAAACGTACCTAGGAAAGAGATGATGTTTGAAGGTTTGCATGGTGGTATGAATAATCACGGTAGAGGTTTACGGTACACCATGTGTAAAGTCCTAGAAGGACTAAGGAAAGTGGATAGAAAATAGAAGTGAAAATAGAAAGGCGAGAAAGTGGAGGTTGGAAGGAAGAGTATCTTTCAGAAGTGAGTATAGTCCTGAAAAGGACTGTAAACCAGAAAGTTGTAGATAGGATGAGAGGTTTGAGTAGAAGACTGGATTGAGTTGGAGAGTTGAGTAGAGTTGCAGAGCAGGAGCAGGAGAGTAGACTCGACGTTTCGGACAGGTTGACTGTCCGACTGTACCTAGGAAACTTGGACATACATTTTCGACCGCTTTTTCTTGTCTCCCTTTGAGTGGTCTTTATAAACAGGAGAGTGTTTCACAAAGACTAAGATCGACTTAAGTTGGACTTGAACTATGGCAGGCCGTTCATGCCACTAGTTATTGTAATCATTCCTGCATTGGTTTCTCAAGGTCACAAATCTACACAATTTACATTTTTTGTCGAATTTTGATGAATAAAAAATAAATTATGTAAAGATCATGATTTCTAAGATTTCTTCCCTCTAATTTAACTTCTGGTTCAAGAATTTTTAAGGGCTGTATCGCGTACCGTAGTATAGGTCCAAGTCTTAAATGTAACTCAATTTTTCAATGTGAGTACCTTTTTTTCCCTCAACAATGAACTATCAAAAATTTAAATTCTGTAGATTTGTGACGTCCCTTGAGAGACCAATGGTGCGAGCAACCAGTGGTCTGAATGTCATGCCATAGTTCTAGTCCAACTTAAGTCGATCTTAGTCTTTGCGAATCACCCCTAGGTTTCACAGAATGTGACTTTTGCTCTATCGTTTTGAGTTGCTTGTAAAAATAAAGGTAATCTAGGCTTTAAACTAGTGCACACCAAGGGCAAACTGGAACAGGCCCTGGCAAAACTGTAGGGACCAAACCATATACATTGTGTCTCTGACTCAGAGAGGTCTCTAAAATATAGACTGAATTCCAGACCAAGTGAGTTTTACCTCCGTTATTGATATTGCAGTTCCTTGATTCTGTATTTGTGTAGACAAGGCCTGACCATGCATATGATTTTTAATTAAAATAAATTAACATTTAAGAGTTACAAACGAAATAATAAGGAAATTGAGGTCGGCTTGCATGCCCTAGACTAGGCCCAAATCATCTTCATTAATGTGCTGGTCGAAAACCCCATTGGCCTTGAATTTAGGCAATAAGAGGGGAAATCTGTACCCCTGTTAGCACCTGGTATTACACGAACGGGGAATTGTTTGTGAGTAATCTGCTTCCTCTTTTGTGTCAGTGCGTGTAGAATTTCGTTGCGGAGATGTGGAAGAAACAACACTGGGGAAGAGATAGAGACACATGCCGGCACATATGTAGAGAGAGAAAGACAGAGAGAGGGAATTGTGGGACTAAAATAGGGATTATTTTTTGTTAATCATCATGATACATTATAACGCAATATGTACTAGAGATATTTGAGCTATGAATGGTAAAATTGCGTTCATGAAATTACTTACTGACCGCTACAAGACAAGTATTTGGCAATAACTCACTTGCGTGTTCATCACAAAGCTGCAATGATTTCGTACTTAAGTCCCGAATCACAAACCTTGGTTTGAAACGCGTCGAAACGCGTCATATGGCACACATAAACCTAGGTTTGTCGACAAACCTCCTTTGTGAATTCGGGCCAATATGGGTAACATCTTTGATTTGTAGAAATATGCCTACCCGTAAGATTTTTTTTTTACCAAAAACATCTTTATTTCAAGGCTTCACGAGCGGACTGCTGTACCTTTTGCCTTTGCAATTAGTGTCCATTTTCCATTCTTATAAGTGCCCATTTTCATCCCAAGTAAATGCCCCTGTTCAAATGTGAAAGATAGTCGTTTTGCTTTGACAAGTGCACCTTCCCCTCCTCTTAAGCGTTCTTTTAATCTCTGATGAATGTTTCTTTTCACCTGTAATATTTGCCCCTTTTATTTTGACACGTGCCCTTTTTCCTTTCTAATAAATGATCTTTTACCTTCTTAGACAACGTCCAAGTACCCCTTCTCCTTTTCATAATTATCCCCTTTTCCATCTGTGATGGGTGCTCCGTTTTTTTTTTACGTGTGCATCTTTATATTTGTAATAAGAGCCACTTCTCCCTTTTACAAAAAGCCCCCTTTCACCTCCGAAAAATGCCCCAATTAAAATCTGATAGATGCCCCTTTCTCTCAACTAATACACATTTTCCTTTTACACAAGTGCCCCTTTTCATATCTGGTTAGTGCCACTTTTAAGGTTCGATAAGTGTCCCTTTTCTTCTCTGATAATTTCCTATTTAACAATGATACGTGCCTCTTTTCCTTTCTAATAAGGGACCTATCCTTTTAATAAATGCCCCTTTTCAACTCTTATAGATGCACCAATCAAAATCTGGTGGGTGCCCATTTTCCCTCGACAAATACCCATTTCCCATTCCATAAGTACCTTTTTCCATCCCTGGTGAATGCCTATTTTTGTAGGTGTGAGAAGTGCCCCATTTTTACCTCTGATAATAACCCTTTGTACTTTGATACGTGCTCCTTTCCTTTTTTAATAAGTGTCCTATCCTTTCGACAAGTGTCCCATTTTCCTCTCATCATTAAATGCGGCCCTAATTTCAAGCGACTAGGAGCAATCTCCCCAAAGCTCGCTCGCTACGCTCGATCGCATTTATAGATGATATAATTATGACACTTATCAAAGGCCTTTTTAGTCTTTCGTTATGAGAATGTGTTTATAACCCCATGAGGATTGTATTTTTCCTCTTTAAAAGATGTTTCCTCTTTAAAAGATGTAATTTTTCAAACTGGGATCGGACAAAAAAAAATTCTCGCTCGCAAATAAATTTCAGACCATCACACCCAATTGCAAACTATGATGCTTAAGCAATATCTTGTGAGGTGTATAAAGAAAAACGAATATTGAAATAATCCCTGATAATAGCAATCGCAATGTATGGGTACATTGTGTATACTAAAAAACTAAAAGATTGTATATTTTCGCATTGAAATTTTCCTTTGTAGGTTTCCCCTTTTTTCTCAGGAAATCGCCCTTTTTGTTGGTGCCCCCCCCCCCCCCCCGCTTCGGAAGTCGCTCTACTACCGCTGGTCCCCGCATATAGCTCCAGTAGTCTCATTTTCGCTGCCTTGATCTGCTGCAAGGCAAACGTATCTCGCTCAACGTCACTACTAAACTAGCCAATCAGCTGTTAATGACGTCAAGGCAGCCATTGTGATATAGAAATGCATTGGAGTCATCAGGATTGGACGATTTACGTCTTACATTAATCCTGAACATTTTACATATACACTGTCAATTTCTTAGAATGTTCCACCTTGTTGCAGGGGGTGTGCTAAGCAGTCATAAGAAACTAAGCCAAAATATATGGTTCGCTACACTCGTCATCATGCATGACAACATACGCCTATAACAACAATCCTTGATATTTAATCCGACGATAGGGGGCGTTGTCTAATGAGACTAATCGTAGCTATATGCCCTACGAGCATAGCAGTTTCCTCGGGCAAACATACTATATTATATATATGTGTAATGAAAATTTTACACCGATAATCCCAGTAAAGATCATGAAAAAACAGGCCTGTATTTATAGTTCACACATTAACGTTGCTCTATGAAGATTTAAAAGTATAAAGAACATTAAAAGTGCTAACATATATTTTAGCAATAACTACCTAATTTTCTTTCATTTCGTTTCAATTCTCTTCCGGTTGACAGGGCACCATGACGTCACAAATCCTTCTATCGTTCTTACTCCATGTTTATCTTGGATCCAACTTTGTGACGTCACAATACATGCAACAACCAACAGGTGGGTCTGAATATTTTCACAGCTTTTTTTTTTGGTTGTTGTTAAGTACTACAAGACAAAAAAGGGGGTTGCGTTATATTTGAAACTAAATAACCAGTGATGTTTTTAATGCAACCAATATTTTTGGTTTTTCACAAGAACGCCAACCTGAAAGCCCACGTATAGGGCAATCCAACCCTCGTAATAAATTCATGTCTATGAAAGCAGAATAATAAGATGAATATTATGGCGAAGTTTGAAATAAATCGGACCAATGTTAAAGGGGAAGTCCACCCTGAAATTAAGTCAGTTTTAATAGGAGTAGAAAAATGAGAAAAACAAGTCAGTGAAAGTTTGAGCAAATTCCGATTAAAAATAAGGAAGTTAGGATTTTTGAAGTTGTGATCAATCAAACACAAATTGGCAACTCTATGACGTATCATGCGAGCTCAACTTCCATTTGCTCAGTACTAAAAAAATCTAAAATTTTCATTTTCCCTCAAGAAAAATTTCAACCATACATGCACCCTAAACATAATAATTGCAAATATGTTTCTATACTCCCCCTGCAAGGAACAAATATATATTCCGTCATCAATAACGAAGAAAACATGATTTTATGGAATATTATGCACAAAGCAAATGAAGGAGAGCTCGTATAATAAGTCACAGAGTTGCCAATTTGTATTTGATTGATCACAACTTCAATAATTCATAACTTTCTTATTTTCATTCAGAATTTGCTCAAACTTTCACTCACCTGATTTTCTTATTATTCTGCCTCTATCGAAACAAACTTATTTTGGGGGTGGACTTTCCCTTTAAGAAAAAAATAATGTTTGAAATATGAGATCACTAAGTCCACGCAGATCTCACATTGGCAGTTTGTTCATTGGAAAGTGACGTAGTTACGGAAAAAATCTCCCGTTTGCCGTGTAAAAAAATATCAATAATTTATGTTTTTCTCCTAAGTGCCTCATCATTCCTTGGGATACTTTTTAGTCACAATTTATAATGGATATCATATTATTATAGGTCCTATAGATTTTAGTCAGGTTTTGCGTTGGAACAAATGGGAAATCTATCCGCCACTTCATAAATGAGACATTACCTATTCAGCCAATTCGAAGATCCCATACCTGTACAGTAGTGATTGCAACTTTAACAAAAATCACAACTTTCTCTTTTTTCCCGATTGATTCAATTTTTTACCAGTCTGCTACTCAATATGTTTTGGTTGCTTTCCTCTAGGGTAGTTTCATATCAAAGTTAGATTTACCTTTAAATGACTGAAAAGAGTCTGCCGATGTATAGAGTGCCGAATGTCATCCTCTTTATCCTGTAAAAAGCACCATGTTTCTCGAGTTAAAAAAGAAGACGAAAACAGATATTTACAATTTAATTTCAAATAATGAAATGCAGAAACTTGGACCTTTGAATGTTCATTTACTAACAAAACTAGATTAGTTTAGTTTTTTTACATAACTATCAATAATAAGATGCTTTATATGAAACCTAGGGGTTGACACTCGACTTTCTACAAAGCGATGGACAGAGTCAACTTCAGCAAGGTCCAACTTTGGACGCTTTGATTTGAAAATCATTCTTTTTGTAATGTTACTCAATGCAAAGGAGTGCCATGGATGGATGAACCAAAAGCAATTTATTTGGTTACTTTTTCTATGAAGAAAAAGATACATAAACTTTTGAAGTTAACTTTTCATATATAGATGAAACAACGACGACCAAAATACTCACATGTTTATATGATCATATAGAGGGCTAAACCCATACATTTTTATTTTTATTTGGATTATATTAATACATTATATTAATTATATTGATCTAAACATATATTATATTGGTGTGTGTGGTCGTGGAGATTTCGTGGTATAGTAGTTTATTCACTTGACTCTAAATCCAAGCCCGACAGTATACATTAGTCCACATTTCCCACTCTTCACCCGGGTTTAAATTGCTATCTAGTAATGGCTCGGGTAGTGATAATTGCAGGGCTCACAGGAATAAGAGCAAAGATACTGATACAGTGATGAGGCTTCCATAGGTAAAGAAAGTTGTTCTTAATATTGAGGAATGGATAGCAAAATAAAAAGATATATGCCCTTAGCTGTTTATCCTTTACCTAGCGATTCGACATTTCTATTACAGTTATTACGGTCTCACCACAAGGCGGAATAGAAGGGCCACCGGGGCGAGAGTACGAAATCAAGTGCCGGGCGAGTTGGTACCGGACACCTCCCGAGGTCGAATGGACGTTCAACGGGCGTCGCATCTTCGACGGGAACAAGTACGTCATCGACATCGAGCAGACACAATTGGAAGATGCGACCATCAGTTCCCTGTTCATACAGAACGCAAGGCCGATGGACTCGGGGCGGTATGGCTGCCGCATGCAAGCACCGGCTTTCGGGCTAGCCAGCACCACGTTTAAGGTGTTTCCACGTGAGTATTCCGAGTCAGTTAATGACCGTCAATACTACTTGGCCAGAAGGGATTAGACCACACAGACCACTGACAGGTGGCTATCTCATTAACTCAGCTCTCAACTAACATAAGAAAAAGAGGATCATGGGGGAACAACAGGCACCGATTGGGGAAGTTTTCTATACACTGTTAAAACAAGTATTAAAAAACTGCGGGTTAAAAAATTGTTGATTAAAAAACGCTCAACCATGGTTAAAAATGTAGTGTTGATTAAAATTTACTTTTAATCTTGCGTTGGTTAAAAACAGTGTTGATCAAAATTATTCCTTTTAACCTATGTTGGTTAAGTCTAAGTCGTTGGCAAAAATTGTAACCCAGCATGGATTAAAAACAAAATTTCCGACAGTAATGATAGCCCCCTTCCGGTTAAAGTTTAATCAATGTTGATTAAAGTACTGGTCACGTGACCCAACGGAACGATATCGAAGCGCGTAGCTAGCGATCGCTCGACGTACAAAGTACATGCAAAGTACATGCAGTTTACGCGGTTGTCGCGAGGACCTGAGAAATGGGGGTTTGGACGGTCTTATCTCCGTGTTTTCAGGTAAGAATTTATTTTAATATTATCATCATCAATTCTAAGATTGTAAGAAAGAAGTGAAATAAGGTTCTTGCTCAAATCAAAAACGATTTGTGTCCCGTAGGCTGTACGTAGCTCAACCAATAAGTAACATTTTACTTGCACCGTGCACCTGGCTCTCTCGTAAGCACACACACACTCATCAGTCTGCAAGAATCTTCAACCGTGAAGGAGGCAGACCCAATTACAGAAGGAGAAGTGTAGGCCTATTACGGATCACCTACCCAAATTGCATGCATGAATAATAATCTTATCAGGTGGGCTGTATAACGTACAGACCACCTTATAATTTCGTTAGAATTGCCTTTATTTATTTATTTATTTTTCTTACATCTAACCACTTTTTTGTAAGCACGATTACTTGAAAATGGCTCAATCAAATGCCTTCAAATTTGGCACACATATGTATAGGCTAGGCATATGTACAAAGCACAATAATGTTTTCAACATTGACCTTCACTGATGACGTCATCTAGGCGCCATTTTGTAAAATTTTACGAAAAACAACTCATGATCATATCTTCATAACCAAAAGCTATTTCTCATTCATATTTATCATGATCAAGGTCAATATCCGTCCAGTCAATTTCAGGTCAAATAACGCGCGCGTGCGCGTACGTCCGCGCGTCAATGCGCGCGCAAAATTTTTAAATGCTCAAAATCGTCTCAAAATCATTTTGCATACGTTTTAGGCCATTCTAAGCATTTTATAAAAAATCGCGCACACGTGCATGCGCGCGCGTGTTTCGCGCGTTAAACTATTACACAAAATAGAATGGCCATTTTTTTTCTTTCATAATATTCCACATACTTTTACAAACAAATTGATACCATGTTTGTCTCTTTATGACTATCAACAATGAAATGATCGACCGTTTAACATAAATTTCCGTGCGCGCGAGCTCTTGTAATACATACATGTAGCATATATGGGCAAAAACATGCCTATACAAGATCCATTGTAGCTCTTTAGGATGCGAGGTGACCCCAATTTTTGGGTCAAATTCTGATAGAGTATGAATCGGAGATATGATTTCATGTCTCATTTGACCCTCAATTAACTCATGACCTCATCATAATGGCCTCCGAACTCAAAATTCCAATTTGCATATTATGACGTCAGCATATTTATGGAAAATTGATTGTATCTCTGTAAATAATCATCGATTTTCTTCCAAATTTTGATATGATCTAGCTGAGACAATTTTCTACAAATACAGTTACTATTATTTTTCATTTTGACAAAGGCATCATGGCGTATTTTTGCGATTAAAGGACGCATGTCAATTTTTCACATTTTGCGTGTATTCTCTATAGGACATGACTTCTTCTCAAAACTGGATTCTACAGTTTCGTCTTTCGCGAGCAATATCTACGTCGTTTTAGCTTCGTTTACGCTGAACTTCGAGTATGTTGTAGCTGAGACAATAAGAAATCTCAAATGTGCCCTTTATCTTGTCTCAATTTTTTGTTGCATCAGCCCACCTATACTTGTTCCAAACAAGTATTACAAATCTAGTTTTTTAAATCTAATTGTATCTAATTGTTTAAAACAATTAAATATAAAATAAGATGTCATCATAAAGTGAAACGCCTTTATGCATGCAATTTGGGTAGGTCATCCGTTACACTTACTGGCTGAGCTACAACCTACGGGCCGGGACACAAAGCGTTTTTAATTTGAGCCCGGATTCGAGCAAGAACCTTATTTCACTTCTTCCTTACAATCTTAGCATTGGTGATAATCATATTAAACAATTTCTTACCTGCAAACACGAGGATAAGACCTCCAAACCCCCGTAAGTTTAACCAACAGTGGTTATAACTGTAACCAACAACCCACTAAAGTTTAACCAACATCGTGTGAATCAAAAAAGAATTAACCTTCAATGGTTACAATTTTAACCAACGACCCATGTAAGTTTAACCAACATCATGTGAATCAGCCCCAAACAAAGCATAAATAACCAACAAAAGATTAAATTTTTAATCAACAAATGGTTAAAGTTTAATCAACACCATTTTAACCAACATTGAGCAATTTTTTTAAACCAATAATTGATTAAAATTTTTAATCAACCACAGGTTAAATCTTAATCAACAGGCTGTTGGTTAAAGTTTAACCAACGATTGTGTGATTCACCTGGTAATCCGTGGTTGATTAAAACTTTAACCAACTTGATTAAAAATTGTAATACTTGTTCTAACAGTGTATAGAGGGAGCAGGTAGCTACAAGTAGGACAGTGGGGCTTTAAAAATGAGACCAACTTTAGTAGATTTCCTATTTAAAGGTTATTTTTATGTGCGACCTTGAAATATATTTCATTTTAAGGAGGAACCAATATTTTGTATAATGATACCTTCATAACTCAGCTGCCACGGTTGACTGACCAGCAGCCTTTTAAAACGGTATTGTCAAAATCCTCCTGTACCCCACATTTGGCATTGAAGCAATGAATGTGATTCGAAAGCCCCGACGCATTTTTTGTTCAGTCCGAAAAAAATTGCTGATTAATTCACATTGATTTTTAGCACTTTTAATAGAAAACAACAACAACAACAACGACAACATCTAATACATTACCATTTCTACTACTATTACTACTTCTACTACTACTACTAATGATAAAAATGAAGTAACATTTTTCCTTTTTGTTTCAATTTCAGAACCAGTACTTATGCCTTCTCCTCATCAAGTCATTGATCGTGACGCTAATATGACTCTACGATGCCCAGCCAGGGGAAACTTTGGGGGAAACCTCTTCTGGATTAAGGTAAAGCTGAACAATTTCAAAAGGCATGTTAACATATTCCGCGGTTAACTGCGGCTGTTTACCGCGTTTCTAAAAAGTTCGTAAGGGCATACTTAAATTCACATTTTGTATCTTATTACATACAGATAAGTGAGTAGCGTACGACCATTGTTGCGCGCAGCTACTACTTTCATCCCCATATGCTATTTTATTTAGTACATTTACTCATACGCACACGAACATGCACCCCTTCCATCGATCCCCCCCCCCCCCCCCCCAAAAAAAAAAAAAAATATATATATATATATATATGGAGAAAAAAAAAGAGGGATTACCGCAGCATATACGAACTAGACTTTAAATATACTATGTCCCTTTTGCATCCAACATCAAATTCTGTAGAACTTTGCAGGAATTATGAATATGTCATGTATATCCTATCTGTGAATTCAAACGTAAGCGGTGTCCTACTCCTAGTATTCAAATCCGTTTACTTGCTAGACTTCACTGTCAGACACTATTGAGTGACTGGCTGGTTTTTCTTCTTTGGTAATAACATACATAACATTAGCTGTAAAGGGTATATAAGCATTTGTCTTCATCAATAAACCACTTCTTGTAATGGCCAAAATCAAACTTATTTAATCTTTGCGCAGCATAAAACGTACGACCATTCGGTACAATGTCCGTAAATCAGACTGTTAATTACTGGCTCTATAGCTCCTAAGTCGATTCGACAACTGATACTCGTTATTTTCGCACTTAAAGACATTTTCGAGCCCTCTTTTTTAAAGGATGTTCTAAATTAGTATTATCTTTCAAATGCCGTTGGAATTTAACCTTTTCATATATTTGGTTTGCAAATGGGACGTAGTACCTTTAAGGATGAAATAAGTTCTGGTGATACGATGACACTCTAAACAAAAATTTGATATAGTACATATTAAAGCATTGATGTAAACTGTGTAAAGTCGAGAAGTGTGATTGTTTTAGAAGCTACATAGTATTGAATGCTATGCAAGAAAAGAACGAGCTCAGTTAGTCTTTTACTTTCTATTATTTCTTTTATCGAAAGAAAGGTGGTAAACAGTGATGTTTTTGTGATGCCAAGTTTGAATATAAAAAAAAATAAAAAGATAGCAAAGTGTTTGCTGAACGACTTCTCTAAGTACACCATTTAAAAGAAGACGAGTAAATTCAGAGATAGTAATTCATTCTGTTGACATCTAACTTGCAACATATTTTCTCCGTCAACTTGGTTAACTATTCATCGTACAAAAAAGACTAAAATTGCTCTATTTAGAGCAATAATAAGCACCTGCAGTGTCAACTATCGATGAAGGTGACATTGCCACATTTTGAAACTATGTCAAATAATCTAAGGGGCCTGTTCTGAAAGGAAATCACCATGAGTATATGAAATAAAAATCACGTTCTCCGTGTTCAATACAATCGCATGACTAGGACTCAATTCTATCTTTAAATCAGATTTACGAGCGTAAATAATCATGTCACGTCACCTTCTTGCGTGGGATTCCCTCTCTTGTCCCTTTCCGCGTCGCTAAGCTCATAATAGGTTCAGGTCACGATGCTTTACCTCCTCAGCACCTAACCTAGATTTCATGATCTTGTCAGAGATCGGGGGAGGTGAAACAATAGTTTTTCAAATTAGTAACCTGAAGACCTTTTTGGTTGATTTTTTAAGCATTTTAGAGTAAATTATTGCGCCCACCATTATTCCATTTCATCCTGAAAGGTCCTTTGCAAATTCAGATCCAATATCAACCTCATTGTCATTATACCGTTTCATATCATTATATAGTTTAACATATTGAATACAATTTTCAATAATTAATTAACAATACATCGATTATTTTAGTTTGTTTAGTTAGATTTTGTCACTTTTATCTACTCGATAGCATATCGAGAAAATAGCCGCCCCCTTCTGAACCAAAATCCTGTAGCTGCCTCTGCCTTAAATATACAAACCCACGTGTTTACAATAAGAGTGCAAGATGGATGAGTATATTCTATATCCATTAGTTTATTCGTACTTGACCTGATGTTATCTCTGTACACGCACCAAGATTTCTATTGTTATTGTTTGTCACACGAAGGGGGCGTGACGACGTTTTACCTGAATTGACAACCCGAAAGTGATGACGGTTCGAACAAGAACGCCATCTTAAATACTTGATGGTCGCTTTCCTTGCTTCTTCCGTCATAAGTTCGTATTGGTCGGCTTTACGGAATTGCCCATAAACCGTTATTGAGGTCATTTTATGAACATTCAGCAAAACAGAAATTTTGAAATAAATATTTAACATTAACCTATCTTCCATTTATCAAAATTATCATGGGTCAATCCCCCGTAAGGTGATATGCAATTGGATCATACCATTCACTTAATGGCTGAGCATAGCCATTTAACAGTCAATAATTCTGTGAACGAGAGAAAAAATGCAAATTAAGTACTAGACCACCGTCTGCGTACGAAATCCCATTACTGCCACCGGAAGAAAAACAAAGTTTGCTGGAGAAACAAAATATTTGTTGTAGTTTTCCGGAGAATTAAAACAAAAAGTGTTTTCTGGAGAATTTGTTTTTGTTTTGTTTTCTGGAATAAAAAATAAAACTCGCTAGCGCTGCATGCATGCTGTTCTCACGTGCACGGCGCGCGTTTTTTCCTAAACAGGTCTGTTATTACTGATATTTCCCAGTCTCCTGATTGGCTGATATGTTTTACGTCATTAATTTCCAGAAAACAAATAACAACTAATTTTCCAAAAAATACAATTCCTCTTTGCAGAAAACACACTATTTTATTTTTTCTTTCATTGGCAGTATCTCAATTTTGTTTTTGCGTGCATTAAATCTTGCGCATTGCTGCCCCCAGATAGACCCCAGATGTGCGAATGCACCCGACCGCGTAAGATCACGGGTCTTTAATTCCCCGCCGACGCTCACTCCGCACACACTAGTATGCTATTAGGGACTTTTAGATTTGCGTGGAGTCGTGGACTGATACGTGACGTCCATTCAAGGCAGTGCATTAAAAGGACGTCGACCGTAGCAATCCACATTGTCTTCGTGCAAATCTAAAAGTCCCTATTGCCAGGTCGAACAAGCTCTAGCCGTGTCCGACCTAGCAACAAGCAGTATCCGAATTTTGTAAACCGAACAATTAATCCCCGAAAAAGGGACACAAAGACCCCGCATAGGCGAATGAACCCGCGCGTCCGAAGACTCCCCGGGAACAAACATGCATAAATTTGACAAGAAGCCGAAAAGGTTCCGTTGTTATTATTACAAGCGTATATCATTATGAGCGATTGAAAAACACATGCACATGCACTAGAAATGTCTTCATTGGGTTGATTAGCGCAATGAATGACGCAATATCTGGTCATTTTGATATTTTTTTCTATTTATAATAATAATAATAATAGCTAGTTCTTATATAGCGCTTTTCAAGACCGAAGGCCATCTCAAAGCGCTTTACATAATATATATATGTTGTAAGGATAATAATACAGTAATTGGTGTTTAGGTGGGGTTGTACGATCTGAACTATGATCGTACAACCTTCATTAGGCACATGTGAGAGTGAAATTGCACAAACATATTATGGCACATCAATAATTATCTTCATTCATTGAGTGATTAACGCAAGGAAAAACGCAATTTATGTTCAATTCAATATTTTCCTTCTCCTTTGTAAGGATAATATAGTGATCGGTGGACAAGCCGGGGTGTACGATCCGAACAGAGACAGGATACCTGACTACTGGGTCGTCGACAATGAGAGGATGGTAATCATCAACGCTAACATCCAGAACGCAGGAGTTTACAGGTGCCAGTACCGGTATTTCTTCCACGGCAGACACCAGAACGTCGCAGAGATCATCAACGTCAACTGTACGTAATCAGTGTTTTTGCACGACACTTATGTCCTTGGCCCTGTCTTACAAAGAGTTACGATTGATCAAATCAATTGCAAGTCCTCCAATCAATCGCAAGTTTGCAGTCTCCTATCTCTTATGTACATAGTTGCGATTGATATTAAATCTTTGTAAGACGGGGCCCTACTGTGCATTGCGCACGAGGCATCATGTTCATGACGTAGGATTGCGTCAGAGCCTGCCGCGGTGTTTTGATGCGCTACTAGAGGACCCGGGCTCAACTCCCGTCGCACAGGCCCGCATTTATTATTATAAGAATCTTCTACATAAGCCTATTACTATGCACCCTTTTCACCCCGCTCATCCTCCCCCCCCCCCCTAAAACAAATTTAAAAAAACGAAGAAGAAGATTCAAGATTTGAAGATGAACTAAGAAGAAGCAACATTAACAAAGAATATACAACTAACAGGAAAACAAAAGAAAGAAAAATGCGAGCGTTACCATGCATGCTTGGTGTGCTTTATTTCGCTCCCATTATTCACCCAAACCAACCAAATTAACATAATAATGACATGTATAGGATTCGTAACATAATGAATTCGCAAAATAAAAAGCGTAAGCATCTCAATGAAATATTATTACTAACAAGAAACAACGAAGCAAAACAAATATAAATTCTTCTTGGAGCTATTATTGATATCATCCAAGGTTTTTACGAACTAATAAAAAAAAAGAAATAGGTTTGGAATACATCCTTCACCTATCCGCAAGAAAAAAAAAATAATAAAAATAATCTTTAAAAAAAACAGTGAAGCCCTTCATAAAATGATTACGTGAGACTACATCATCCAACAATTTTGGTAAAGGCATCGTTTAACAATGTTAAATCGGAGATGCACGGCCCTACGTGCTACCCCGTGTCTGTGATATGGTGTCAGGGGCGTACGCAGGATTTTTTCAAGGGGGGGGGGTTAAAATCTGGCCCAAAATATTTTGCTCCCGAAAATTTGAAAATCGCGCCGGCCGAAAAGTCGCTCAGTGGGGGGGGGGGGGGGGGGGGGGGGGGGGGGGGGGGGGTAAGCGGACACTTTTTTCTTTTTTTTGGTAGTCCAAAAAAAACCGCAACGACTCAGCCAACCGAAAAGTCGCTCAGTGGGGTGGGGGGGGGGGGGGGGGGTAAGAGGACACTTTTTTTTTGTTTTTTGTATCGAAATTTGAAACTTTGACATTTTGCTCCAAAAGGGGGGGGGGGGGTTTATGAAAATTTAGGGGGGGGGGGGTTTACACACAAAAATTTACCAAAGGGGGGGGGGTTTAACCCCCCCCCCCCCTGTGTACGCGCCTGTATGGTGTAATACATATATTGTCATTCCAGATTCCGGACTATTCTTGTCTCCAAAGTGTATACTTTTGTTCATTATAATGAGTAACTAACGGTATGACCATACCAACTATGTTTAGAATATACTCATATCGAGAACAAACTATATTGTAATATTGTTTCAATAAGCTGCAGATATATTCCCTTCCCTTTTCCTTGTCGTTTGTAGTTAATTGTGAGTATCGGTTCATGTATCCCTGTAATATCCCTTTCCCTGTTTTAGCGTATATTTGTATTTTATAAACTTTACTTTAGTTAATTATGTCATTTTTAGTTTAAGGAGCCTTTCCACAACAAGCTCTGCTTTTCCATAGGCTCCGCCACTTTATCTCTAAAGTTAAATTTAATGGACAATATTCTAAATAGTGTATACCGGTATTGTATGTACATGTATAAAATAATCATTTTTAATATGTTGTTACACTCTTTGTAAAAGGAGATATCGTGGAAACCAATAAACTATCTATCTATCTATCTAATATTGAAGCCCTAGAAGAAGAAAAAAATCGAGCTTCTAAATGATCAAGAAGTGCCTCCAAAAAGTAAATATCTTTGAGTGACCAGTTTTACCATACTCGTTTTCCCATTTAGACTGTAGTGTTTTGAAAACCGTTTGGAAAACGCAAAATTTGATTTCGATTTCCAATCATAAATTGGTAATCAGACAGGCGATCGGCTTGTAAAAGTCATGGAGTTCCTGACTTACCTAAAGGTTTATAATTATAATTGCAGCATGAGCTACAATCCAGGATTTTGTTTCATAATCTGAGATAAAGTTACCGGTTAAAGGTTTACAGGATAAACGCATTTTCAGGAATTGTTGTTCGTTTTGTTTTCCTCTCAACATAGCTCCCGTCGAACTGGTAACTGCACCATTAATACGATGGCAGGAGCTTCCCAACGGTGGTCCCCTTCGTCTAGAGTGTAAGGCCCGTGGTTTCCCACGACCAAGGATCGCTTGGACCTACTCCAATTTCACCTTCGAAAGCGGGGGTTACATGGACAAGAATGTGAGCATTGTGACGAGTCCACAGTCCCAGACCATTGTGACGTCAGTGCTCAGCGTGCGTCACATGCCGGACAAGTTCAATGTGGCCCGATTTAACTGCTCCGGGCAGAACAGTGTGAGCAGGGCCAGTAAGCTTATCATGGTGGTGAATATGGGTAAGCAATGGATCGATTCACGGTTAGCACATGTCTCAAATGACCCCTAATATCCACAAATCTTCGAAACAGGAAGAGGTCTCACTTTATACATTTCGAAATAATCACTCCTGCAGCGATAGAGATGCTACATAAATAGCCTTTGTTTTCCCTTTTCAAAGAATACTTCCACCTGTTTATCATGGAGTGCACTGCTTTTGCATAAGTGAATGATAACATAACTTTCATGGGCACGTATCCAGTATTTTGTCTCCATGTATTTCACAATTTGGTCTGCAATTACCTTTATCTGCTCATGCTCAGACTGCAACTATGAACTGGCTTATTTATCGATTCGATGTTTCTGTTCAGGCCGGACAACTACCTCAGACATTTTCTCATAGACAATTAACTTCAGACAAACTACCCCCGGGAATAATCATGCCCGGTCAATTATTATATTATTACAGGAAAATCCCATCCACTAAGATGATTAACACGTTCTTACTCAATAATGAAAACCTCCCTTCTTGATAAACCATGAAGGTAGTTATCCGGGTTTTATTTGTTATATCGCGTAGTTTTGGAGGAAAATTGAACAATCTATCTATGATGATAATAATGATAATGATAATAAATAACAGTGATAATAACGATAGTAATTATATTAAACGTAATCATAATAATTATGATATTAATAATAATTATAATAATAAGGTAATTTTTGATCGACAATCAAATCCACAAGTTATCATCAATTTTAGTACAACCATCCTCACAAAAGAATGCACTGAATGTAAATGCTAAATTGGGAATATACCGTGTTCCTTGGAAGAAAAAAAAAATGTTTTCAGTTATATAAGCATGACAATTTGGGATAGTCAATTTGTAATAAATTCCGGGATCATGGCTATATTCTTCTCGGTGAAACCTACGCATGATCATGGGCGGAATTCCCCTTATTCTTCTGCTTGTACGTATGATGTGGGGGCGAAGTGTATCCCAACAATTATTGTCAGCACTAAGTATAATTCGATTGTTGGTTTGCATAATTTACATTTGGAATGACTTTGACAGGACTTTCAGGACAAGAGAAAAACATATAGCGCATCCCAATTTGTTTTGACGTACGTGTTCTGAATTTGAAGGACATTATTCCCCACATATAAAATATATTCATCTTTTTAAACTCTAGAATTAATGTGTACTTGTAGTATTTGCAATTTAAGATGTGAATTTAAACGTCAGTTTTTTAATTCATAAAGTGAATCGAATTAGAAACATCGAATTTGATATGAAATTAAAGTGAATGTTGTAGGCCGTAATTTGCAGTGACGTGCGAGCTCCCAAGATGCCCGTGATGAAGGAAATATTTCCCCACGACATTGTACGTACTCACTTTCCTCCGAAATTACATTCACATCGAATATCAAATTTCTTTGATTCTCGAGCAGGTATTATCAGTCTGCATTGGCATAATAATGTCAGAGAATGATATAATTAGGTATAAACATTTATTGATAATGTCATCTAACACTAGAAACGAATTTTCAAAGCCCTTATTTGTCCTGTTTTTCCCGTCAAAATTCACAGACCTTTATCATATATATTATAGTCCCTTCAAAGAATAGGATGACGTTTGTGCGATTGTGGGTTATTTTTCACCGAGTCTACTTAATGGAATAAAATGTCCTCACTACACAGCAGCGACAGGAATGTAGATGAACAAACATGACGGCCCGAATTCACAAAGGAGGTTTGTCGACAAACCTTGGTTTTCGTACGTCATATGACGCGTTTTCACGCGTTTTTTTTTTTTACAAACCTGGTTTGTAAAAACGCGTCGACATGTCCGACTGTTATACCATTGTATGCGACCATGCAGAGGTGAAATAGGAAGGAGAGCGGGGGGGGGGGGATCTGAAACTCCTCTCCCACTTTTAAAACTGATATGGCATACCTTCAGAATGCTGTTGAAATTACAACCGAATATAATTTGATTAACCGAATAAGATCGCAAAGAATTTCACGAAATAAATTTATTATGGTACTGCCTGTAATAGAAATCCTGTTCGGATAATGTTACACCCCCATTGTATGTGTCATTGTCATGTCCGCACATTTCAAAATGTGACGCACCACGCCGTTGACATTTTCTGAGGATTTTTTCTTTCTTTCTTCGAAGTCTAAGCCATCGCATTTGTCGGAAGTGTGCCCTTCTCCCTCCGAATTTGAATGTAAAAAAAAAAATCATTGACTATCCCTGTCAAGTATACCATTTACCTTTCTCGCTTAAAACTAACATTATATCTTTCTTTTTCTCTCTCTCTCTCTCTCTCTCTTTACCTCTTTCATTATATTTGAATGGGTAGGGACATCGGGACAGGTTCCGAACAGAGGACCCAATACGGGGACATCCACCGGTGCTGCCTGCGTCGGGACCAGTTCAAGCTTGATCCTTGTTGCCTTTGGAACGTCCTGCATACTGATTAAATCGTTTTGGGATACGAGATGAGGAGCTAGCGAAACTGTTGAGAACTGCCCATTTATGCAACGTGTCCAATGCGACACATGACTTTTATTCATTTTCCATCCAAGGAATGATGAAGCTTTGCTATGATCTTCGGGAAGGGGTTCTTGGTATCAACACCATTAGCTGCCAGACACAACTTGGGAAAACCGAGCACAGGTAAAACCGCCGAAAACGGCATATACCGCTCGGCGAATATAGAGCCCCAACGTCAATTGCGAAGCAGTGTGTACACATTGGAATTCTTTCAAAGTCAACCTGCCGTTGAAATAAATTATTTCCAGAATGAATGCCGTGGGTAAATTACCTTCAAGTCCTTAAATGATTCGTCATGTAAGATTATTATCAAATGATAACATTTCAAATAAATATACCTACTGCATTATTTAAGAAGTATATATAAACATCAACAAAAGGCCGACAATACAAGATTTCCCCCATGCCTTTTGTACAAATTGCCTATTTTTTTAAATTCCAAAGTTGTGCCTGAGTGATAAGCGATATAATATATAAAATGTTACATTTGCGTTTATTTTACCATATTCTTTTAATACCATGGCCCGTATTCTGAAGTCGTGTCTAACTCCTGTTTAACTAAACAGTTGTCTAAGTCCTGTCTAAGTCCCGTCTAACTTTAGACTCGAAGTCGTGTCTAACTTTTTTCGTATTCTGAAGTCGTGTTTAAATAAAGTTAAACACGAAGTCCTGTCTAAGTCCTGTTTAACTTTAGACAACTGCGAGGGGTTGTTTAAGTCCTGTTTAAGGGCGCGATTCTGCTGCTTTTTAACGTCTACGGTACACTCTACTTACTGACCCCGAACTTGCGGGGAGAAACGATGGTACGTGCATCCTATACAATTTCAAATACATTTTGCAGGATTTTTTCTCGTGTAGCCTGATTTTTTTTCTCGATAATATTAACTATTCTTATCTAATGGTGACATCTTGGAAATTCCATAATCTATAATAAACTAACCATTCTGTTGGAGAAGTTTCTTTGCTGGTTCTTCCGAGCACAGAGGCACTGATAAGTGATATTATTAGTGCGTTTGTGTACAGTGTACGTGTAGTACACGTACGTCACACAGTGCAATACGTGCCTTCACGGTTGTTTCATCGCAAAGCATGCCGGGACATAATTCTAGTCCATTTTCACCTTCGCCGTGATCAGCTGTCCTGTTGCAAACAACGGGATACTTATCGAATCAACATCATAATCTTGTACATAGTCCGCTATTCTGCAGTGATTTTCTTCCAATCCAGTATCATTTGTACGGTAAGAAACCAAAGTTTGTGATTATTCATTTTTATGACTAATAAAGCTGATAATACGACGTAATGAGAGTGGGCCGAGATCCAACTTTAGTAAATGTAGGCCTAGATCTAGTCCCGTATGTTCAAATGTGTGTGCATTTTAAGTTGACTGATTGCCTTTTAAGGCTGCTAAACACTCGTGTTTTAAGTAGAAATGTACAGTAATATGAGATTTATGTCTCATGAAATATGAATAGACTTTCTAGATCCTATAATTGATAATGGAATAGGGTCTACTAGAATGGCCGACAGTTAGGCCTAGATAGTGATTGCAATTAGAAATCATAAATGTAAGAAAGTAAAAGAGGCCATGAAAACGATAGATTGTCGATCTGGATCTGGATATAATAGTCTGATATCAATGAGCTCTACATGACGGGGGCGTACGGAGGATTTTTTCGAGGGGGGGGGGGGGGGGGCCGGGGGGTAAAATTTGAAAATCACGCAGTCAATTTCACAACGACTTGGCCAGCCGGTGAATACGCCGGGGGGTGGTAAGAGCACTTTTTTTTTCCTTCTTTTTTCCCCGAAAATATGAACATTTGGCAGACTGATATTTGTTCAGTTGGTGGGGGGTAAGGTCACCTTTTGGGGTCACCCTTTAGCACAAAAAATGTTTAATTTATTTTTGTTATTAAAAAAGTGAGGGGGGGGTTCCTCAAAAACACACACACACATAGTCTAAACAAAATTGGAGGAGGGGGGGGGGGGGGGGGGTTCAACCCCCGAAACTCCCTCCCCCCTGCATACACGTCTGCTACATGATCTAGTGTTGAAGAAGTGATGAGGGTTCTTTTGTCACAAACTTAAATTTGATTTTCTTTTCCTTTTATTTATCAGTTGCAGCATCATCGAACACTATGGCCGATGAATCAGAAGATAACGTAGATGCTACGAGAGAGCTCATTTCACAATGGACAACAGAAGTGTTACGTGACTTTCTACAAGGAGGGGACTCAAGCTTGGAAATCGAGTAGCCATTATTTTATGGGTGTTCTCTGCCTTGACTCTGGGGGTACTGTTCAGCCATCCGAGGTAGAGATAAACTGGACGATGGATGGAGAGGGGGCGGGGGGGGGGGGGGGGGAGGGAGAAAGGCATGCAGACTGCAGAGCTGGTCGTCTACTATGTATAGAGACATTTGTGTGTACCTAGTAGATAAGGACCCTCCATCACTAGAGGGAAGAATGAGAGACTACAAAGAGGGAAAGGCATTTAGTTATTTTGCCAGTTTCTGGTTAGGGAGATATTTGTTTCATCTCGTGGGAGAAAGCTGTCTGTAATTCAAAATCATTTGATACTTGAATAAATTTAGTTCATTTTCTAGACTGTTTCATGTCAAACCGTTGATTCTACTTTCTTGTGAGTATAGTCAGAGAGATAGAGAAGTAACACGAGTAAAGAATGAAAAAAAAGCTAATATTTGAACGAGGAGGAGAAAATGGAGATTACGTTGTTGCCCATAGAGTTGGAATAATTGTTCTTACTTTTTTTAAATGATTGTGACCATTTGGTTTATTGTTTGTACATAAAGGTCATATGTTATAAGAACTGTATTGATCAATCTAAAGAGTCTTATAGATTGATTAATACAGTTTTGAGATGATGATGATGATTGTGATGATGAACGAGAAGGAGAAGAGGAGGAACATATCAAGAGTTGATGGAGAAAAGATTGATAGAGGGGTTATCATTACAGAGAGAGAGAGAGAGAAAGAGAGATAGACTAACATGAGGAAGGGAGAGCAAGAATGGAGGCTATGACATAGGGGAAGAGATAGAAATCAAAATTATATTTATACTAACTTTTACTAAATTAGAATAGTAAATTAGAAGATAAAGATAGAGGAAAGAATGCAAACTAAAATTAAGCAAAGACCATCACAATATCGTTTACATTATAATATAAATTAAGTAAAGGTACATGGAAACGTGTACATTTGTAAAATTTAATCTCTCGTTCTCTTAGATCTTCCTCTTCACACCTAATTCTTACTCTCCCTCTCTATCTCTCCCTCCCCTCTCTGTCTCTTTCTCTCCCCTCTCTCCTTATTATCACTCTTTCTCTTTCATTAAGCGTCGACATCTCTCTCGATGCCTCTCTCTGTTTCTATGATTTTTTCTCTCGTTAAATATTTAAAACATCAGGTCTGTCTGACCTTCCTCTCTTGAATAAATCATGAATAACTTCAACTCAGCGTCCTACATACAGTAATGATTGCTTAGTACTCATCTACAACCTTCTCTGTGTTGTTTGATTTTATTGATAAAATAAATATAACCATGAGATGAATACAAGTTAGATCAATATCAACAGGTTTAATGCCATGCATATAAGTTGACATCTTATGAAGAAGTAGTACCACCCCGCCCCCCCCCCCACTCCGGGAACGGGAACGGAGGTACCACATGCGTGTTCCCAAAATCTCTGGCTCGTAACAAAGAAAAAGATCTGCCCGTATTGACTTTACACACTGGACTTTTGCTGAGAAGGGGGGGGGGGGGGGGTACCACCTTTAATGCAAACACATTTAAAGGGATCGGGTAACTTACTCTCAGATTCTGAAACAAAATCCTGGATTTAGCTCATGCTGCAATGATAAATTTAGGTCAGTCAGGAACTCAATGACTTTTACAATCCGATCGCCTGTCTGATTATCAAGATATTTACGATTGGAAATCGAAACCAAATTTTGTGTTTGCCAAACGGTTTTCATAACACTACAGTTTATTGGGGAAAACGAGTATGGTAAAAGGGGTCAAACAAAGATTTTTACTTTTTAGAGGCACTTCTTGATCATTTTGAAGCACGATTTTGTCAGGGCTTCAGTATTAATACACCATATCACAGACACTGGTAGCACGTAGGGCCATACGTCCATCTCGGTTTAAACATTGTTATACATTGTTAAACAATGCTTTTTACAATACCTTTACAACATACACCATACACCATTGGCTGTCACATGGTTTGGAAATCACATTACAGATAATAATTCTACAACTGTGAGGTTTCACCTGTCGTCATTTGATACCCGAAGGAACACTTTTTTAGGGGCTAAATCTAATTTTTTCACAAGGCAAAATAACTATATGCCTTCCCCTCTTTGTAGTCTCTCATTATTTTTCCCTCTAGTGATGGAGAGTCCTTATCCAGTAGGTACATACAAACATAGTAGGCCAGTTCTGCATGCCTACCCCCACCCCCCCCCCCCCCCCCCCCAATCCATCCATTGTCCAGTTCCTCACAGTGTCTACCTCGGATGGCTGAACAGCTACCGCGTCAAGGCAGAGAACACCCATAAATTAATGACTACCGGTACTCAATTTCCAAGCTTGAGTCCCCTCCTTGTAGAAAAGTCACGTAACACTTCTGTCGTCCATTGTGAAATGAGCTCTCTCGTAACATCTACATGCACGTTATCTTCTGTTTCATCGGCCATCGTGTTCGATGATGCTGCAACTGATAAATAAAAGGGAAAAGACAATCATATTAAGTTCGTGACCACAAGAATGATTGTAACAAAAGAATCCTTATCACTTCTTCAACACGTAGATGCTCAAGTTGAGCTCATCGATATCAGACTATTTATATCCAGATCCAGATCGACAAATCTATCATTTTCATGGCCTCTTTTAAGTTTTACTTAGTTTTTTACACTTAATTGCAATCACTATCTAAATGTCAGCCATTCTAGTAGACCCTATTCCATTATCAATTATAGGATCTAGAAAGTCTATTCATATTTCATGAGACATAAAT